CTGTGATTCCGCCTCCCGATTGCCCTACAAACCTCTTCCTCCTCCAAACCTTTCCTACGTCATTCCTGCCCACAGATCCTGGCCAGGTTGGGATTTGAGCCCATCCTAGCTGAAAGGACCTTCATTTCCTCCACCTCCCCCATGCGTAGGCAGATTCCTCTCGCTCGACCTGACACCTCTGCGTGACGCAAGTGACCACAAATCACTCAGGGAAGAACCTGAGCCACCTGGGCCTGTCCCATCTCGCTCTCGGCCCAGCACCGAGGACCTCTACAACCTCACTGAGAACGTTTCCAGTGCTGAATGGATTTCTTTAGCAGCTTTTGGGGTGTGCCGAAGCCCAGTGAGATGTATCTTCAAGTGGTTTCACACTGAGGCGAATTCATGAGCTCCATTGACCCAACCAAAGCAGCTCAGAGCTCCTCGAGCAGCTCAGGCCCCACCCAGGAGAGCATTTTTTCCTTTGTTGCTCTTTCAGCTGTGTTGGAAAACACCTCAATGATCATTGAGTCCAACCCTACCGTGGTTACTGGACCATGGCACTAAGTGCCACATCCACTCTCATCTTGAAAACCTCCAGGGATGGTGAATCCACCACCTCCCTGGGCAGCACATTCCAATGTCTGAGCACTCCATCAAAAAATCTCTTCAAACCTTCTCCTGATCTCCAACCCAATCTTGTCCCAGTGCCTAAACACCTCTGGGAGAAGAACTTTCTCCTGATCTCCAGCCCCTCAATGTCCCTCCTGAGCTGAGGGCCCAGAACTGAGCACAGGACTCAAGGTGTGTCCTCACCAGCACTGAGTCCAGGGGAGGAATCACCTCCTGGTCCTGCTGACCACACCGTCCCTGCTCCAGGTCAGGATGGCATTGACCTCCTTGTCCCCCTGAGGGACAAGGACGCTGCTTGTCCTGCTCAGCTCCCTGTCCACCCCAACTCCAGGTCCCTTTCTCCTGCTGCTCTGCAGCCACTCTGTCCCACCGGGTGGGATTGGGATGGCCAAAGTGTAGGACACCACACTTGGCCTTGTTCAACCTCCTCCCATGGCAATCAGCTCATGTCTCCAGGTCCCTCCTGCCTTCCAGCAGATCCACACTCCCTCCCAAACTTTGGCTCAGCCACAAACTTGTTGAAGTGCAACTCAACCTCCTCCTCCAAACCATCAAATACAAGACAGGGCTGGGATGGGATGAACTTGGAGCTCCTTCCAACCTGAACTGACCCCTGGGGAACTCCAGGAGCCAACTGGATTCCAGAGCTTTCCACAGGTTTCTCTTGCTGGCACAGCCTTGGAAGAGCTGCCAATGTTCTTCTCCTCTAGATCCAACTCAAATCGCTCTGACACCTCCAGGCCAAACCCCACCACTGTGGGCAAGAACAAGAGGAGGAAGTGAGGACAAGAGCTCAGCCTGGGCTGGAGAACCTTCCTCAAAGGGCTTTGCTTGTGAGTGCCAACCTGATTCCTGCACCACACCCCAAACCCACACAGAAACCACCAGCACAAGTGGCCCAGGTTGAACTTTTTTTCTTCTCCTTGTTGGGAAGGAGCCGAAGGCCTTTGAGCAACCAACTGCAGGTCCCTCAGGGCTCCTGCCTCACTCTGGGGAGGAGTGGGAAGGAGGCAGAGCAGGAGGGACATGGGGGAGAAGGTGGAAGGAGATGGAGGGAGTGGAAGGAGGATCTAAGTGAAGGAAAGTGGTGAAGTTCGAGGCTATAAGATCCATGGGGCTGCAGGAGACAGGACAGGAGAAGACAGAGGAGATGATGAGGGTTCCAGATCCATAGAGCTGCAGGAACCAGGACAGGAGAAGACAGAGGATATGATGAGGGTCCCAGATCCATAGAACTCCCGGAGCCAGGACAGGAGGGAACAGGCACCAGGACAAGACAGAGGATATGATGAGGGTCCCAGATCCATAGAACTCCCGGAGCCAGGACAGGAGGGAACAGGCACCACTATCCCCTAGAACCACCACCAGAACCAATTCCCACCAACATCTATCCCAACTTCTTCATTCCTTTGCAATCCAGAGCTGCCCAGAGCCAACCCCTCCTGGAGCTCCTTCCTTGGTCCTCCTGGCCTGAAGACAGAGGATATGATGAGGGTCCCAGATCCATAGAACTCCCGGAGCCAGGACAGGAGGGAACAGGCACCACTATCCCCTAGAACCACCACCAGAACCAATTCCCACCAACATCTATCCCAACTTCTTCATTCCTTTGCAATCCAGAGCTGCCCAGAGCCAACCCCTCCTGGAGCTCCTTCCTTGGTCCTCCTGGCCTGCAGCTCCACAGCTCCTGGTCCCTGGTCCCGAGGGAAGGAGGTCCCGGCCCAGGCCACGTTGCTCTCCGTGTCACTGCTCTGGTGGCAAAAGCCCCAGGTCCTCCAGGGCTGGTTTGGCTCTGGGCTGTGCCTGGGTGAGCAAACACAGCTCTGGGCACAGCTCTGCCACCCCATGGGACGTCACCACCCGATGCATTGGCACCAGGGGAGGTTCTTGCCTGGGGAGGGAACAAGGAGCTTCCAGGGTCTGGTCCACTATGGGGTCAACAAGTTAGGGGTTCTCCTGGGGTTTGGTTTGTTCCAGGGAATTGTTGTCCTAGGGATGATTCTCTGCCAGGTCCTGGCCTGGAATTTCAAGCCCCCAAACAAGGGAAATCACTTTCTTTTCCTCCCCTCTTTAGTCTCAACCAAGGTCTCCAACCTTGGGGGATGTTGGGGTTGGGCATAGTCCAGAGAAGTTGTGGCTTCTCCATCCCTGGGAGTGTTCCAGGTCAGGTGGGATGGGACTTGGAGCCACCAGGGCTGGTGGGAAGTGTCCCTGCCCATGGGATGGGATTTAAGCTCCTTCCCACCCAAACCTCTCCATGAGTCACTCTGAACCTGAAACTTCATGTTTTCCACATGTCTCAGGATGTTCTTCAGCCCCAGAAGTGTGAGCTGAGCCCAATGGGATCAACTCAACTTGCTCAGGACTTTTCTTCTCTGTCTCCCTCAATGAAACCCTGGGCAAACCTTCAGGAGTGGAACCTGCAAATCCTTGGAAAGGGATTAGGGAATGAAGGGAAACTTCTCCTGAGCTCAGCCCTCACTCCTGGCCCGAACTCAAACTCAGCTCGGGGAGGTCCTGGAGGAAACCAGAGCAGTGCTAATCCTCCTGCTCAGTCCAAACAAGAACAACAAACAGAGCCTGAGCCAAGGAGCTCCTGGGTGACAAGGTTTTGGGGATGGAACTGGAAAGGTCAGAAAAGGTGGAGAACTGGTGTCTCCTCTGGGGAATGTTCTCTGGGAATCTGACTGGGGAGAGCAGAACTTCTGTCCCTGCCAGAGGTCTTCATCCTCTGCCTCAACCTCCACATCTCAGGGCTGGAGAGGGACTGGGACAAGGAATGGAGAGGGGACAGGTCCAATGAGACCTCAGAGCCTCTTCCAGTGCCTGAAGGAACTCCAGGAGAGCTGGAGAAGGACTTGGGACAAGGCCTGGAGAGATAGGACACAGGGAATGGCTTCAAGCTGGAAAAGTGGAGGTTTAGGTGGGATTTTGGGAAGGAATTCCCCCCGGGAGGGTCCGAGGGTCTAGGATGGACTTCCCAGAGCAGCTGTAACTGGTTTAGAGGAGGAGGAGTTACCTTCAGGTGCTCCTTGCTGATGGAGAAAAGGAGGAAAACATGGAATTCCCAGCCAGGCCTGAAGCTTCTTTTGAGGGATCAAATCCAAAGCAGGAAAAACCTCCGTGGTGTTTCTGCAAGAAATCTTTTCTCCTCCGTGGCTCGGAGGTATGTGAGATGGAATGGGAGATACCTCAGGGGTGTTTACACTGCCCTGGAAGCCAAAGGAGCAGAGAGATCACAGCGATGATCGGAGGCACTGGAGGAGCTCAGAGTTGTGCAAGATCTGCTCCTTCCCTGGAAGGAAAAAAAAAAGGGGTTGGAAACACATTTCCCAGGCTGGTTTCTACTCCTGGGAGGAAGCTCAAAGCACCAGGAGTTGTTGTTGTCCCAACATAGACACCAACAGGCTCCAAAAGAGCATTGGATTCCTGTTGGAGCGTCAGGGAGGGATGGTGATCCCACCCCACTCCAAGGGCTGGAGAAGGAATGAGGGACTTGGGGCTCCTCAGCCTGGAGAGGAGAAGGTTGTGTGGAGACCTTCAAGGAGCTCCAGGGAAGCAGCAGAGGGACTTGGGTAGGAGCTGCAGGGGCCGGACCCAGAGGAACTTGGGGAGGAGCTGCAGGGACAGGACAAGGAGGAATGGGGAGAAATGGAGAGAGGGAAAGTTAGGTGAGATCTTAGGGAGAAGTTTTCCCTGGGAGGGTGGTGAGACACTGGCACAGGTTGGCCAGGGAGAGGCTGTGGGTGCCCTAAGGAGGTTGAGGTTGCCCCAAGGAGGCTGTGGAGGCTCATCAGAGACACCTCAAAGCTCATCCCAGACCCCTCAAACCTCAACCCAAGGACCTACCACAACTTTTCCACAGCCACGTGGGAGGAAGACCCATGAGTCTGGACCTTTGGGTTGCCCAGAGCTCAACCCTGTTGCCTTCTCTTGCCTTTTAATTAGCCCTAAGCTCTGACCCATCAGTCCTTGCTCCCCAGACCTAACCACTAATCAACAAGGTATCACCTCCTCCTAATTACCTGTGTCGTCTCCCTCGTGCCTGGCACTAATTGCAGCCCCTGAATTAACGACTACCTTGAGGAACCTCCTCGGAGCTGCCAGCTCTGCACCAGGTCCTGGCTCTGCCCAAATTCCATGGCTCAGCATCTCCCATGAAACCTCCAAACATGGTTTATGGGATTGGCTCCATGGCTGGAGAATCTCCACAGGGTGGGACAAGTCTCTGAGGAAGTCCAGGAGAAAGGAAAAGTCTTCTGGGAGTATAATCTCACCTTGACCAGACAATCCATGGTTGGATTGTCCTTCCCACCATGTCTCACTTATTAGGAGTGACATTCCCATCAGGATCTTTGTTGTAGGGAGAAGGAGGAGGGAAATGGTGGGAAAAGGGGAGGGATGTGAGAAGAGGATGGAGAAGAAGGAGGAAGAAGAGTCCACTTGGAAGGGAACTACAAAGATCATCTAGTCTACCTGAAAGCTCTGGGGGAAGAACCTTCTCCTGATGTCCAACCCAACCCTGTCCCAGTGCCCAAACACCTCTGGGGGAAGAACCTCCTCCTCATCTCCAACCTAAACCTCCTCTGGAACATCTCCAGCCCTTCCCTGGGTCCTGCTACTAGTCCCAGAGAGCAGAGATTGTTGTTGTCCCTCCTGAGAAAGCTCAAGCCCGGTCTCCTCTCCAGACCTCCAGACCTGCCATTGTTTCCTCCAGCTTGGAGAAGACAGGAGCAAACAACACCTCTGGGGACAACCAGGGAAGGAACCCCAGGAGAAGGGGAAGAGCCTCTTGGAACGGTTGGATGGTGATTTATGAGCTGGAAGAGAAGGGGTAGGTCTGATGTTCCCTCAGCTGGAACACACCAGGAACAAAAGCATCAGGTTTCCTTGGATCCCAAGTCCTGCCCAGGTGTCCCAGGACCCTCCTCCACCTCCAGAGTTATATATACCTGTCCCTCACCATCCCCCAAGGCCACAGCAACCCCTGAGGACACTCCAAGCAGAACCTGAAGCCTCATGATGTGGGAACTGAGATCCATCGCCTTCACCAAGGCTGTCTTGGTGGAATTCTTGGCTACTTTGGTCTTCATCCTCTTCGGCCTTGGCTCTGCTCTCAACTGGCCTTCAGCTTCTCCTCCGAGCATCCTCCAGATCTCCTTGGCTTTCGGCCTGGCCATCGGGACACTGGTGCAAGCCCTGGGACACATCAGTGGGGCTCACATCAACCCGGCGGTGACGGTGGCTTGTCTCATCGGCTCCCAGGTCTCCTTCCTCCGTGCTGTCTTCTACGTGGTGGCCCAGCTCCTGGGGGGGGTGGTGGGAGCTGCCATCCTGCACGAGATCACTCCAGCAGACTGCAGGGAAGGCTTGGCCATCAACAAGGTAAAGCTCCAGCACCTGAAGGGGCTTGGGATGGAGCAGGAAGGGGATTTGGGAAGGCTGAGGGACAGCAGAAGAGGTTTGTGGTCTGGGGTTGGTGGGAAGGTGCTGTGGTTCCTTTGATGTGGAGCAGGGGAGAGTGGGAAAGAGATTGGAGAAAGACACACAAGGAGAGGGAAAGAACCACCAGGAAAGGGAAAGGAGCTCCAGGGAAACTGCAGAGGGACTTGGGTAGGAGCTGCAGGAACAGGACAAGGAGGAATGGGGAGAAATGGAGAGAGGGAAAGTTAGGTGAGATCTCAAGGAGAAGTTTTTCCCTGGGAGGGTGGTGAGACACTGGCACAGGTTGGCCAGGGAGAGGTTGAGGATGCTCCAAGGAGGTTGAGGATACTCCAAGGAGGCTGTGGATGCCCCAAGGAGGTTGAGGATACTCCAAGGAGGCTGTGGATGCCCCAAGGAGGTTGAGGATACTCCAAGGAGGCTGTGGATGCCCCAAGGAGGTTGAGGATACTCCAAGGAGGCTGTGGATGCCCCAAGGAGGTTGAGGATACTCCAAGGAGGCTGTGGATGCTCCATCCCAACCCCTCAACATTCCATGATTCCCAACCCTCTGCCCTGAATCCCTTTTTTTGTTGTTTATTCTTCCCTTCCAGCTGCACAACGAGACAACCACAGGTCAGGCCGTGACTGTTGAGCTCTTCCTCACCTTCCAACTGGTCCTGTGCATCTTTGCCTCCACTGATGAACGGAGGGAGGACAACTTGGGATCTCCTGCCCTGTCCATTGGCCTTTCCGTGGCTGTGGGACATCTCCTTGGGGTGAGAATGGGCTGAAACTCAGCACTTTTTGGGATTCTCTTGGAGTTTATGCCCAAGGATTCCTTGGCTGCATCACATCTCCAGGGTGGATGAGGGCTGTGGAGCCTGTGGTTTTCCAGTGGATAAGGAAGGGAAAATCCCACCAAAGTTATAGGAGAGTTGCAGCTTGAGCTTGGAGTTTGGGCTCTGCTGCTGGTTAGGTCCCTTGGGGAGCACCAAGGCTCAGTAGGATCTTCTCTCCTGGTGTGAATGTATTGGTAACTGAGGGTCTCAAGGCCTGGGAAGTCTTTGGGATGGAAATCCATGGAAATCTTACTTGGATTCCACACCAAAGCAGCCCCAAGACTCAGCACAGCTGTGCCAACCCCAACATCCCACCACATCCCAGAAGCTCCACCAGTTCATGCATCCATGGGAATGTTCTCCTGCCCTCAGCAGCAAGGAGAAGGAATTTCCTCCTGCATCAGGCCTGGCAGGACCTTTTCCCTGCAGCCCTTGGAGGTTCCAAGGCTGAGGCCCCAGGAGTTTCTGGAGAAGCAGAGCCAAGTGCTGAGCATTGGAACAGCTCTTGGAATACTTTTCCCAGACCAGGAATGCTGGAGGGCTCAGGCAGGGGGTGAAACACCCTCAGAACCCATCAGGGCTCGTCCCAACGTGGTGGAAGATCTCTGGAGCTGCCACTAACCAGAGTTGTCCTCGTGCAGATCCGTTACACCGGGTGCTCCATGAATCCTGCCAGGTCCTTCGCTCCTGCTGTCGTGGTCGGAGACTTCTGTGACCACTGGGTAAGGGTTTGGGTTCCTCTCCCTGCTGGGATGAACCTCCAGAGCATCTTGTTCCTCGAAACACTCCGAGCCAGGTGGATTCCTGGTGTTTCCATGCCTGCTCCCCAATGGAGGAGAGATGGAGAGATAAGGAGAAGAGGGTGGGGCTTTAATTGGCTGCTTAATTGGCTGCTTAATTAGCTTGTCCTACTGGGAGTGTCACAGCAAGAACTGGGGAAGAGGTTTGGCCACCATGACTTGGCAGAAGGAGCAAAAATAAAAGAGCCAATGGAGGGTGGAGTTGTTGCAAGTCCTGGAGATCTTTCCTGGTTCCTGTTGGATTCTTCTCCAGGGGATTCTTTGGGAATCCTCCCTGGGATTTAAGCTCCGCAAAGCAGTGGGAACAGAGCTCCAGGAGTGGTTGGTGGAGAGTTTGGGGTGTGAAGGGTCTGGGCTTGGAGCCTTGGGGGTCACTCCCAGCTCAGGAGGTCCCAGTGGGTTCCACCTGCATGGAGAGTGTTTGGAGGAGAAGCTCAGGTGGTTTGGGTTGATGTGCTCACAGGTGGCCACCACAAGCTGGTGGCCTCCTACTTCTTCTCCTTCTCCTCCCCCTTCTCCCTCTCCTCCTTCTTCTCATTCTGCTTCTCCTACTCCCCCTTCTCCTCCATCTTTTACTTCTACTTCTCCTTCTTCTGCTTCTTCTTTTCCTCCTCCTGCTTCTCCTTCTTCTCCCCCTTCTCTTCCTCCCTCTCCTTCATCTCCTACTTCTCCTTCTTCTGCTTTACCTTCTCCTCTTCTTCCTTCTCCCTCCCCTTCATCTCCTACATCTCCTCCTTCACCTTCTCCCCCTCCTTCTCCCTCTCCATCTCATCCTCCTCCTTCTTCTCCATCTCCTTCCTCCCTCTCCTTCAGCCCCTTCTCCTCCTCCTCTTCCTCCTCCCTCCCATCCCTCTCAGACCACCCAAGCCACACAAACCAGGAAGGACCACAAACCTCCTCCACATCTCCTCACACCTTCTCCTTCTCCCCACCCTCAGCCTTCAGCACTTCTCCCTCACCTCCCATTCCTTTCCCCTCCCACAGGTCTTCTGGGTGGGACCTCTGCTTGGGGCAGCAGCAGCTTCCATCCTCTACAACTACATCCTCTTCCCCCAAGCCAAGACCTTCTCAGAGCGCTTGGCCATCTTCAAGGGCCGTGAGCCAGAGGAGGACTGGGCGGAGCGCGAGGCTCGACGGAGACAGTCGGTGGAACTCCACTCCCCTCAGAGCATGCCCAGGGGAATGTCTGAGAAGGTGTAACCAAACTTCTCCGTGGGCTGAGAGAGGAGCTGGAGATGCCTCTCTGGGAGCTCCTTCAGGTGCTCGTCCACGTGAGCATTTCACCTCTCTCCCTTCACTTCTCCTGGGGCACCAATGTTGGTTCATCTCCGGGGTTTGAGATGTAAAGGGATGGTGCAACATCTTCTGCCTCTCAGACCTCCACATGGACTTCTGGCATCAAAGTTGACTCTTCTCCTGGGGAGATGCACCAGCGATGGTCCAACACCTTCTGCCTCTCAGTTCTCCTCATGACCCATGGATTTGAGATGCACCAGTGATGGTCAAACACATCTTCTGCCCCTCAGCTCTCTGCATGGACTTCTGGGAACCAAAATTGATTCATTTCTTGGTTTGAGATACAAAGTGATGGTCCAACACCTTCTGCCTCTCAGGTCTCCTCATGGACTTCTGGGCATCCAAGTTGACTCTTCTCCTGAGGAGATGCAAAGTGATGGTCCAACACCTTCTGCCCCTCAGGAGAGCAGGGGGACACCACCAACCCCCCAGATCAGCAGGCAGAGTTGCCCAGGCTGCCCTGGCAGGACGTGGCGCTGGAGGAGGTGTTTGCCCTCCAAAGGAGCTCGAGGTGCTGCCAAGAGGTGTCATTAGGTGGGTGTGGAGGTTACCACCCGATGCCTCATTGCTCCTGAGCTCTCCTGGCTCCTGTTCCTCACACCCTCCTGCCAGGAGGTTCCCCCCAGATGAAGTTTGGCTGCTGCAAGGAACAGTTTTCCTGGGAAGACAGGGCTGGAAGTGAGTCCTCGTGTCCCTGCTGAGCCCTTGAGGACCTCATGCCACTCAGCTCTGCTGGGCCAAGGAGAAACCTCATCTGCAGCTCAAAGTTCTTCCCTCTGACCCTTCCACCATGAGCCACTTCCCTTCTCCCTTCTCCCTTCCCTTCCCCTTCCCTTCCCTTTTCCATTCCCTTCCCTTCTCCCTTCCCAGATCAACATCTTTAGCTCTGGTTTCTCTCATCCACTGCCACAGCAAAAAAACCCATCAAATCTGGTTCTTCCCTTCACTCCTTCCATGGCAAATTTAGCACCAGCTTCAAAAAAAAATATCCACCTGTTCCTAGCAATGCCAATAAAATCCCATTTGGAATCAACCTCAGTGGGAAATTCTCTTTCAAAGAGCTAAAAACCTCAGGTTGAAAAGTCATTTCAAAGCTCATTTTGAAGCTGTTGGGTCGTTTCGAAAGGAAAAGAAATCCATGGCCAGGAGGAACAATCCAAAGACACTTCCCAGGCCTCATCCTGGGAAAGTCCTGCTTGAAAATCCCACAGAGCTGAATGTTCTTCACTCTGGTTCAGGGGGGACAATTTTCAAACTTGTGTCCTGGGACACTCCCAGGGATTGAGAATCCTCTGGGAGATCCATCCCAGCCCCTTCCAGGGTGGAATTCCTGCCCCATATCCCATCTCTCCCTGCCCCATGAAAGATCTCGACCAGCAGGACTCATCCCACCTTTCTCCCTGGGTGACCTTCTCCAGGTCCTGTTGTTCTCACCATCCTTTGGCTTCCCCTGAGACTCATCATCCTCTCCATGTGCCAACTGACTGATGAGTCCAATGCAGATGAGTTGGAAGGAGACAGACCAAGCCCAAAGCCCTTGGAGACCATCATGGAATTGCTCCTCCAAGAGCAGAGCAACACACTTATTACCCATGACCAGCTCACTATGACCACCAAGGTCTGGAGGACACGTTTGGGGCCAACCAAAGCTGTGGGAGAACATGGACACAACCCCAAACCTCAATCTCGTGGAGGTTTTTAGGCTCTGAGGTTGCACCAAGGGACTAGAGGAAGCAAATTCCTCTTTGCTCCAGGGCTGGAGAAGGTGGAAACACCACTAGCCTCAGGCTGGAGAGTCATCCCTCAGCTTCAAAGGAGCTGCAGCAGATATTGGGGTAGATAAGAGGAAGCCCTGAAGGTCTGTCTGGAGCATGTTGAGCTGGAAAGCTCTGCGGCTTCTTGCCAACCCTTCCCTGTCTCCCGAGCCAGGAGCAGCTCCAGGAGCTGAGGATGAGGAGGTGAAGTTTAGTCCTAGGGATGTTTCTCTTCCCCCTATCAATGGTTTGGTGCAGCCTCCAAAGATGAACCAGGAAACACCTTTTGCCTCCAAAACCTGAGCCAAACCTTCTCCTCTGACCATCTAACCCCAGCTCTGAGTCCTTAGCTTGGACTCAATGATCTCGAAGGTCTTTCATGACTCCCTAATCCCAGTTCCAACCCAATTAGTGTCTCCAGTTGTTATTCCACACCACTTATTGTCCCACTTTTGAGGTCTTTGGTCAAGGCATGGTATTAATTCCTACTCACTTCTCCGAAATCCAAGTCTCAGCACGTAGAAACTCCTTTTCCTTTCCAAAACTTAAGCCAAACCTTCTCCTCTGTCCATCTAACCCCAACATTGAGTCCTTAGCTTGGATTTGAGGAGCTCTGAGGTCTTTCCCAGCCTCCTGCAGCCCAACCTGAGCTGAACTCCTGGGGAGCCCAAGACAATTCCCATCCCACCATCCCAGTGAGGAGGTGTAATCAGCCCAGAGGAGCCGACTGGGACCAGCACACGTAGGAGCTCATGACACACATCTCTCCGTGGGTGAGGCCTTGGGACAGCCCTGGGCGAGGATGAGGCACCAGTGCCTTCCTCCCACCTGGACACTCTGTACCCAGCACAGAGCTCATCACCTCCTCCAGGCCTGGGGGCACCTCCTGGTGCAGTTGGGTGATGGGTGGGTGAGTTGGGGGCTGGTGGCAGTGAGGAGGGGGAGAAGGGGGAG